GAAATATGATTAAGAAATTGTGAACAGACCTAGAATGTGTACAAGAGGAGTGTTGAGTCCATTGCTGTGTGAGATGATACGCGTATAGTAATAAGTGGGAAATATGTTTGAGAAATAGTGGACAGACCTAGAATGAGAAATAGAGGAGTGTTGAGTCCATTGCTGTGTGAGATGATACGCGTATAGTTAAGAGTGGGAAATATGATTAAGAAATAGTGAACAGACCTAGAATGAGTGCAAGAGGAGTGTTGAGTCCATTGCTCTGTGAGATGATACGCGTAAAGTAATAAGTTGGAAATATGATTGAGAAATAGTGGACAGACCTAGGTTGAGTACTAGAGGAGTGTTGAGTCCATTGCTGCAAGAGGTGATACGCGTATAGTAAAGAGTGGGAAATATGATTAAGAAATAGTGAACAGACCTAGATTGAGTACAAGAGGAGTGTTGAGTCCATTGCTGTGTGAGATGATACGCGTATAGTAATAAGTGGGAAATATGATTAAAAAATAGTGGACAGACCTAGAATGAGTACTAGAGGAGTGTTGAGTCCATTGCTGTGTGAGATGATACGCGTATATTAAAAGTGGGAAATATGATTAAGAAATAGTGGACAGACCTAGAATGAGTACTAGAGGAGTGTTGAGTCCATTGCTCTGTGAGATGATACGCGTATAGTAAAGAGTAGGAAATAAGAATGAGAAATAGTGGACAGACCTAGAATGAGTACTAGAGGAGTGTTGAGTCCATTGCTGTAAGAGATGATACGCGTATAGTAAAGAGTGGGAAATATGATTAGAAAATAGTGAACAGACCTAGAATGAGTAAAAGAGGAGCGTTGAGTCCATTGCTGTGTGAGATGATACGCGTATAGTAAAAAGTGGGAAATATGATTAAAAAATAGTGGACAGACCTAGAATGAGTACTAGAGGAGTGTTGAGTCCATTGCTCTGTGAGATGATACTCGTATAGTAAAGAGTAGGAAAAATGATTGAGAAATAGTGGACAGAACTAGAATTAGTACTAGAGGAGTGTTGAGTCCATTGCTGTGTGAGATGATACGCGTATAGTAAAAGCGGGAAGTATGATTAAGATATAGTGGACAGACCTAGAATAAGTACTAGAGGAGTGTTGAGTCCAATGCTCTGTGAGATGATACGCGTATAGTAAAGAGTAGGAAATATGATTGAGAAATAGTGGACAGACCTAGAATGAGTACTAGAGGAGTGTTGAGTCCATTGCTCTGTGAGATGATACGCGTTTAGTAAAGAGTAGAAAATATGATTGAGAAATAGTGGACAGACCTAGAATGAGTACTAGAGGAGTGTTGAGTCCATTGCTCTGTGAGATGAAACGCGTATAGTGAAGAGTAGGAAAAATGATTGAGAAATAGTAGACAGACCTAGAATGAGTACTAGAGGAGTGTTGAGTCCATTGCTATGTGAGATGATACGCGTATAGTAAAAGTGGCAAAATATGATTAAGAAATAGTGGACAGACCTAGAATGAGTACTAGAGGAGTGTTGAGTCCATTGCTGTGTGAGGTGATACGCGTATAGTAAAAGTGGGAAATATGATTAAGAAATAGTGGACAGACCTAGAATAAGTACCAGTGGAGTGTTGAGTCCATTGCTCTGTGAGATGATACTTGTATAGTAAAGAGTAGGAAATATGATTGAGAAATAGTGGACAGACCTAGAATGAGTACTAGAGGAGTGTTGAGTCCATTGCTCTGTGAGATGATACTCGTATAGTAAAGAGTAGGAAATATGATTGAGAAATAGTGGACAGACCTAGAATGAGTACTAGAGGAGTGTTGAGTCCATTGCTCTGTGAGATGATACGCGTATAGTAAAGAGTAGGAAATATGATTGGGAAATAGTAGACAGACCTAGAATGAGTACTAGAGGAGTGTTGAGTCCATTGCTCTCTGAGATGATACGCGTATAGTAAAGAGTAGGAAATATGATTGAGAAATAGTGGACAGACCTAGAATGAGTACTAGAGGAGTATTGAGTCCATTGCTCTGTGAGATGATACGCGTATAATAAAAGTGGGAAATTTATTTGAAAATTAGTGGACAGACCTAGAATGAGTACTAGAGGAGTGTTGAGTACATTGCTGTGTGAGATGATACGCGTATAGTAAAGAGTAGGAAATATGATTAAGAGATAGTGGACAGCCTAGAATGAGTACTAGAGGAGTGTTGAGTCCATTGCTCTGTGAGATGATACGCGTATAGTAAAGAGTAGAAACATGATTGAGAAATAGTGGACAGACCTAGAATGAGTACTAGAGGAGTGTTGAGTCCATTGCTCTGTGAGATGATACGCGTATAAAAAAAGTGGGAAATATGATTGACAATTAGTGGACAGACCTAGAATGAGTACTAGAGGAGTGTTTAGTCCATTGCTCTGTGAGATGATACGCGTATAATAAAAGTGGGAAATGTGATTGAGACTTAGTGGACAGACCTAGAATGAGTACCAGAGCAGTGTTGAGTCCCTTGCTGTGTGAGATGATACGCGTATAGTAAAAGTGGGAAACATGATTAAGAAATAGTGGACAGACCTAGAATGAGTACTAGAGGAGTGTTGAGTCCATTGCTCTGTGAGATGATACGCGTATAAAAAAAGTGGGAAATATGATTGACAATTAGTGGACAGACCTAGAATGAGTACTAGAGGAGTGTTTAGTCCATTGCTCTGTGAGATGATACGCGTATAATAAAAGTGGGAAATGTGATTGAGACTTAGTGGACAGACCTAGAATGAGTACCAGAGCAGTGTTGAGTCCCTTGCTGTGTGAGATGATACGCGTATAGTAAAAGTGGGAAACATGATTAAGAAATAGTGGACAGACCTAGAATGAGTACTAGAGGAGTGTTGAGTCCATTGGTCTGTGAGATGATACGCGTATAATAAAAGTGGGAAATATGATCGAAAATTAGTGGACAGACCTAGAATGAGTACTAGAGGAGTGTTGAGTCTATTGCTGTGTGAGATGATACGCGTATAGTAAAAGTGCGAAATATGATTAAGAAAAAGTGGACAGACCTAGAATGAGCACTAGAGGAGTGTTGAGTCCATTGCTCTGTGAGATGATACGCGTATAGTAAAGAGTAGGAAATATGATTGAGAAATAGTGGACAGACCTAGAATGAGTACTAGAGGAGTGTTGAGTCCATTGCTCTGTGAGATGATACGCGTATAATAAAAGTGGGAAACATGATTGACAATTAGTGGACAGGCCTAGAATGAGAACTAGAGGAGTGTTGAGTCCATTGATCTGTGAGATGATACGCGTATAATAAAAGTGGGAAATATGATTGAGAATTAGTGGACAGACCTAGAATGAGTACTAGAGGAGTGTTGAGTCCATTGCTGTGTGAGATGATACGCGTATAGTAAAAGTGGGAAATATGATTAAGAAATAGTGGACAGACCTAGAATGAGTACTAGAAGAGTGTTGAGTCCATTGTTGTGTGAGATGATACGCGTATAGTAAAGAGTAGGAAATATGTTTGAGAAATAGTGGACAGACTTAAAATGAGTACTAGAGGAGTGTTGAGTCCATTGCTCTGTGAGATGATACGCGTATAGTAAAGAGTAGGAAATATGTTTGAGAAATAGTGGACAGACTTAGAATGAGTGCTAGAGGAGTGTTGAGTCCATTGTTGTGTGAGATGATACGCGTATAGTAAAAGTGGGAAATATGATTAAGAAATAGTGGACAGACCTAAAATGAGTACTAGATGAGTGTTGAGTCCATTGCTCTGTGAGATGATACGGGCATAATAAAAGTGGGAAATTTGATTGAGACTTAGTGGACAGACCTAGAATGAGTGCTAGAGGAGTGTTGAGTCCATTGTTGTGTGAGATGATACGCGTATAGTAAAAGTGGGAAATATGATTAAGAAATAGTGGACAGACCTAAAATGAGTACTAGAGGAGTGTTGAGTCCATTGGTCTGTGAGATGATACGCGTATAGTAAAGAGTAGGAAATATGATTAAGAAATAGTGGACAGACCTAGAATGAGTACTAGAGGAGTGTTGAGTCCATTGTTGTGTGAGATGATACGCGTATAGTAAAAGTGGGAAATATGATTAAGAAATAGTGGACAGACTTAGAATGAGTACTAGAGGAGTGTTGAGTCCATTGCTCTGTGAGATGATACGCGTATAGTAAAGAGTAGGAAATATGATTGAGAAATAGTGGACAGACCTAGAATGAGTACTAGAGGAGTGTTGAGTCCATTGCTCTGTGAGATGAGACGGGCATAATAAAAGTGGGAAATTTGATTGAGAATTAGTGGACAGACCTAGAATGAGTACTAGAGGAGTGTTGAGTCCATTGTTGTGTGAGATGATACGCGTATAGTAAAAGTGGGAAATATGATTAAGAAATAGTGGACAGACCTAAAATGAGTACTAGAGGAGTGTTGAGTCCATTGGTCTGTGAGATGATACGCGTATAGTAAAGAGTAGGAAATATGATTAAGAAACAGTGGACAGACCTAGAATGAGTACTAGAGGAGTGTTGAGTCCATTGTTGTGTGAGATGATACGCGTATAGTAAAAGTGGGAAATATGATTAAGAAATAGTGGACAGACCTAAAATGAGTACTAGAGGAGTGTTGAGTCCATTGGTCTGTGAGATGATACGCGTATAGTAAAGAGTAGGAAATATGATTGAGAAATAGTGGACAGACCTAGAATGAGTACTAGAGGAGTGTTGAGTCCATTGCTCTGTGAGATGATACGCGTATAGTAAAAGTGGGAAATATGATTGAGAAATAGTGGACAGACCTAGAATGAGTACTAGAGGAGTGTTGAGTCCATTGCTGTGTGAGATGATACGCGTATAGTAAAAGTGGGAAATATGATTGAGAATTAGTGGACAGACCTAGAATGGGTACTAGAGGAGTGTTGAGTTCATTGCTCTGTGAGATGATACGCGTATACTAAAAGTGGGAAATATGATTGAGAATTAGTGGACAGACCTAGAATGAGTACTAGAGGAGTGTTGAGTCCATTGCTGTGTGAGATGAATGTCTCGATGTCACAGCGCATGCCCACTTCGTGTTTGGCCTTGTCCCTCACCCCACAGTCTGCGAGGATGAGATGGCTGTTGTGGGGGTTCAGGGGGTAGGAGTACTTCTGCAGTCTGTCCCGCGGACACGCACGGGTCGCACGACACCTACCAACATCACACCACCAACTGAAACTGACTATTGATGATAAAAACAACTTACATTGTAATAGAAGCGTTGTGAAAGTCAATAGTGCCCGCCATCGGGACAACCCTAGACAGCACACATCACTAAATTGTCACAAAACAAATCATCCTCATCATGGATCATTATAAATCGTTTCAGATAAAAATTGAAGCGGTGAAAATCTCGAGATTATTCTCATAATAAGTTTCTTAGATTTATAGCACTAAGACAAGAATTTACAGCAGTGTCGCGAGAATTTATTTGGAGTTCTTTAACTTTCGTTCTTCCAAAATAATTCAAGTAGTAACCAGACTGATGCAGTGCCATAAATTGATGACTGTTAACCTCCCGGGTTATCCAGCCAGAGGAAGACCTTGCACCAGGAACTCATGAGCAAAGAGCAATTCGGGATTTCCTCCGTCACGCAGTCAGTCAGTTATCCACCCTCTTTTGGATTCGAAGGTGTCCAAATGTGCCAACGTGTTTCTTTTTGCTGGTCGTCATTCTCACCAGTTTTCCTTGATTCTATTTCTTTGCTTTTAAAATCCTCGCTTATGAGGCGACCTGCATGTTTTCCGTACTCCTCACTTGCTATTTTCTTAAAATGCCAATGCCTACAAGGACCTCCGAAAAGCATTATGAATTCAGTACTACCAAGAGTTCTTAAGCGATATTCTCTGCTAAAACTCATCAAAAACTTGTTTTAGGCGGCCTTCATTTTTTTAAGCAAACTTGAGCTCTTCCAGTTATTTTTTAGTTTGTTTAAAAATTTGCGCAAAATTCAATATGTAAAAATTGTCTGAAAGCTTTTCGAAAACCTGGTGCGAACTAAACGTATGCTGCGTGACTTAGAATGTAGTTGACTGATAAGTCGCAGGCTTTATCTAGATGTCTATGGCACTTGTTCAGCCTCTTTATGGCAGATACCATATCGAAACCTCCGACCAATCAATCCCATTGCTGCCACCTTTAAGCCAAAACTTAAGTACGTACACATTAGGTACTCCATTTCTTCGACAATTTCAGGCTCTGTTATTAATCGATTGTTTTTTTTTCTGTCGAATTAGGTATTCGTCCCACCTTTCACCACAAACGTTTTTTTCAAAATGAGGGCAATGATTCCGCTTGGACGATCCATTTGTAGCGAATTTATTTTTAAAATTCCAATCACTAAAGTTGTGGCCAAAACACATAAAGATTTTTGTACAATGCTCAAATTTTTGTCATTTGTGACAATTAACCTTGTTCGCGGGAAATTCAGATTGAAAGACGGGAACCCCTCAATCATCAACATTTCAATTGATGACGGTGTTTGGGCGGAAAAAGCAAAAAAGAAACAATTGACAAACAGCAGTCCGATTGCAGTAAAAGACATATTTAAGGAGTTTGTTCATGTTGACAGAAATTTACTTAAGGTGCTTTATTACGCTGCGCTGTTTATTACGCTGCGTGTTAAGGCCCGTAATAAAGCACCTTAAGTAAATTTCTTTCAAAGATGAAAGATTAGCTTTGTTGTGCTTGAGATCTATGAACCTGTAATTGTAGGCTTGTTGTTGGGGTGATCTAACACTAGCAGTCCTGGTAGACCCCCCAGATTGGGAGTGGGGGCGGGGGGAGGAGGGGTTGTGGTCATTGGAGGATGATGAGGAGGACTTGTTCCAGGACGACCCCTTCTTCTTCTCAGAACCCCGCCTGCTTCTCTTCGTGGGGGGCAGCAGACCCTCCTCCATCGCCCAGCGTCTCTTCAGATACCACTGGAAACAAAAGCAAAACTGTTAAGGCGGTTGCTTTGTTTTAATATGAAGTCGATGTCTGGTATTTTCTCGTAGAGGGAAGAGGGCAGATTTTCAAAACAGTTTAAAAATGTGGTTGACTTTTTTGTATTCAACACTATGTTAAAATTAGATGACTGAGCCTTGCAACTCTTTACTTGCCGAAAAAAGCGTGCCACAAATTATGTCTCTGAGCTATTTTTGAATGACATAACTTGACAGCGAAAATATAGTTATTTTTGAACTAATGTTTAAAATAGTTTTGACAATAGAATATTAATCTGGAATGTAGACTAATAGCACTTAGTGAGAGAGCGATTAGAAGATATTTATACAGAAACGGAGAAGGATGGTAGAGCTCAGATTATTCCAGCATGTGTTTAAAAATGTGTTTTCATTTATTCATGTCAACAGAATTCAGAATTGCAGTTCTCAAAACGTTCAAATATTTTATGTTGAAGAAGACAGTGCAGCTTTTTCAGGGTGAATGGGATTTTGAAGAGAGATTTTCGTAAAAGCTGTTTATGACTACTCTTGGCATTCAGTCAAAACTGGATCTTCAAATTAGTACCGAGGAATTCTCACGGGTCATGGTCTAATTCAAACATGGGCTCTGTCCCCCTTCCCTCATTTTGATACTTAACTGCAAGTACGGTTAAGAATAATCATGGTAAAAAATTGTTTTCAAAATTTACAAATGCAAATTGGAATCGTATGGGAGGAGAGCATTGAGCGACCACGGCCCCTTTCCAGGTGTCTCGCCTCATGAAGCGGAGAACAAAATAAAAGGTCACGCGATTGTAATGAAAGTTGGCATGTGATTTGATTAGCAAATCCAGAACATGATTGGTGTGCATGTATTATCATTATTATCATGTCAAAACTAATGGGGGGGGGGGAGTGGGTTGAAGGAAAGAGACGGTGTGGTGGATTGTATGTGATGTAGTGTTAGAGTATTAGTGCATGCCTGTAGAATGTGTTCGTGTTGGTCCACACAGTTCCAGTTGGCGATGCCTATGAGTTGGAAGGTGCTCTTCACCACTCCTATCCACTCCTGGTAGATCCTCTCACTCAACAAGTCTGTGATGTACCCGTCTATCCCCAGTGTAGTGCCCCCCGTCAGAATCCAGCACTTGGTCGAGGTCGCCGCATTCAGGAAGCCCTGCTTGAACCTGCCACCAATACGTAACAAAACAACTAACTCAGACTAAAAGCATTTATTTTATTCCAGTCAATCCGGTTCTCATCACGCCAAGTATCAGCAACATAGATTTCAAAAAAGAAGAGAAGCGCTTCGTTACAACCAAGGAAAACAGAAAATTTACGTCTGAGAAGTTAGCAACAGATACATATTTGATTGTACGGGGCCTATTTGGCTTAAAATTTGCTAGGGTGCGTTTTGAGCATCGTGGTTCTAAGTCAACAAGACTGCTCGTATCAAGGCCAAGCCCTGAATGTTCCGACTGCCTTTTAAGGTTTATGGAGCAGTAATAACATAGAAAAATTGAATGTACGAAAATGAAATGAATCATTTTTTTTGAAAATCATCCCCCCACACTAAAATATAGAACAAATATGGCACAATAATCTCACTCTATGAACACAAATTATAATCAACCATAAAAATTTTCATATCGATTTTAATGGATTATCAATCCATTTTTTTCCGTACCACAATAATCGACTTTAATCAGTTGTTTTCACCTCAATTTTTAATTTATTTTTTAAGCACAAAAATCCATTTTAATCGTTTTTGATGGATTATAATCTTTTCTGTTTGCCCATCTTGTCTTTGACCTGGTATCTGAAATACTTTTTTTTTGCTTTTCGTTGACGTTGGTTTTTATGAAAAATGTGAGAATCATTTCTAGCAGTATAGTAATGAAATCAGAGTTATAGCGTTTTTTTTTGTTCTTTTCTCAATTAGAGTTATTTTATGACACACATTTTTGTTTTTAAAAACAAAATATCAGTTTTTTGTTTGAGTTTCTTGATTTTTGGAAATGTATTTTGCACCAACGGCGGGATCTTTTCAATTAGAGTGAAAGGATCTCTGTGAAAGTTTTGTTATTCAGATGAACTAAAGTTTGAGAAACTATCGCATTTATAGAGATTCTGTTACTGACACAAAATAAACACCCAGAGCATATGATCAAATTATGTTATTGTTGTGATAAATTTTTGGCATGATAAGCAGTTATAATCTTCCTAATTTATTTCAAAAATTTTCTCTATGAACTGCGTTCCATTATAAAGGTTTATAATGTATTATAATATCTGGTAATGTATCATCACCTTTATAAACGATTAAAAATACTTTAAACACCTATTTTTGGTAACTGTAATCAATTATAATTATTGAAAAACGAATGTAATTGTCCGATCTAATTGGTTACTTAAGCCTGAACTTGGATGAGGTCAAGCTTAGACTAGCCAATCAGATCCGTTGATTTAATTACTTGTGCTGTTTTATGGAATCTGTTGCTGAGTTCGCACGTTTCGGCAACATATTCACTCTGAGTAAACATTTTTGAATCTTATTTGAAATCTTGAAATGAGGGTTTCTCAAAAAGCTTGTGACCAAAATTTTATCCCCATATTAAAATCGAACGAACATGTTTCTGTTGCCAAATTCACAGACGCAAGAAATTTTGTTATGTATTTTCAGACATACCTTTAAAAAAATTGGTCTTAATCTCTTTTGAGACTGAGTAACTTGCTCCAGTTTTCATTTCCTTCTACTTTTTAGTTTATTTTGTTTCGGAAGAGACTCTATGCGAAGCATTATTTCTATACTTCCAGAAATTGTTTTTCTCTTTTTGATTTTTTCTGCGTTTGTATTTCTTTTTCAAATTTTATGCCAGTGAGTGGGCAGAAGTGACGCTCAATTGACTCTTTTTCTTCTTATTAATTGTGCCACCTTCACTTTTTCTCTTTCTTCTGTTTATAGAGGGGGCTCACTATATCCTAACTCACTTTAACTGTCCGATGGAAGATTAAAGGGCCATAAGTGGGAATTGCGATCTGCTTTACAATTCATCTTTGGAAAAGTCCTGATTCTGTTCATTAGACAAGCTCATGATTTATGTATGCCAAAACATAGAGCATAGGTGATGGAGGGGGGGGGGGGGGGGAGGGAAGGGGGCTGTAAAGTAGATAGACACTGAGGGAATTCAATGGAGACAGGTAGATGTGAACAAAGTAGGCGCTAAAAGACGCTTTCCAGTGATCACTGTAAGAATAACTTATTCTCTCGCCCTATACCATGTGCAATATATTTTAATGACGGCCACCAAACTCAATCTAAATTCTATCAGTTGTGATAATGTCTTCAAACACCATCTTTCGCCCGCCTCCGGTTGCGATAATCATTTTTGCCCAGTCAAACTTAGGGTGCGTGCATTCAACTTTATTTAAACAAAGCAACGATAATCATTTCCGAGTGCAAATTGTTTTTTTTCTCGAAAAATTGCAAAAAAGAAATGCCTGAAGACAACAAAACATAGTATTACAACAACACAATATGTATTTGCGTTCAAAATCTATGAAAATTTCATGTGAATCTAATGCAAAGTGGACACAATTTTAAGATAGTAAACCACGTTAGTAGAAATTTCAAGTTAAAAAAAAACACAGTTCATCCACAAAAAAAAACACATTCTAGCAAGAAAACCGAGGCTTGTTTCATGATGGAGGGAATCGACCAGAACCGTATGAGGCTCCAAATCTCTGAACGGCTCAAACAAAATTCTGGGATAATATCTACCGATAAGGAGAATGAGTAACGGAAAAATAATAAAAAAAATTTATCTAATTTGTAATTCGGAAATCCGGAAAAAACAGCAAAAAAAAGAACAAATCAAGGGCCTTCGATTTTAAATTAACCTATTAAAATTAACTAAACTATTTTTTATTCCGACTTTCCGAACGAAAGTAACGGAATATTTGTGCTCGAGGTGGGACTTTTTAACTAGCAAATTTTGACGGAATTTTTTTAATATCATTCGAAAACTCTTGTTGTCCTGAGCTTAAATTAAAAAAATATATTTCACCTGTTATCAATTTTCGTAGACTTATGATGGTTTAAAGATTTGCCATTTTGGCCATTTTGACCAATTTGGGACAATTAACGCGTGATATAATTCGCGCTATTAACGCGTAAGCGGAGATTTAATCCGTCTTATAAATCGTTACATATTGGTTCAAGGAGGCTATATGCCTTAATTGATTTGTTAATAGGAGCAAAATCTATCACTTTGTACTTAATATGGCATGTGGGGTGATTTTTTCTACAAAATAACTCATTTTTTTTAATTTGATTTTTTTTATTACATTTAAATTTTTCATGTTATTACTGCTCCATAGACCCTAAAAGGCAATCGGAATTTTCAAGGTTTTGCCCTGATACGAGCAGTCTTGTTCAGTTTTGAGACTCAAACTCACGAGGACGTCCAGCGGTTGCCATTGTGAGGCCTGGTGTCTGACAATTGAATACCAGCCAATTAAACACCGTATGTTTTCATACCTAATCGTTTCACTACTAAACGGTTTAAATCCACAACAATTTACCTCCTATTTTATAACTTAACACCGAAGTTAATGCTGAATGAAACCCTTATTGTAATAATAAGTTCCCCCCATCTGCAACCCAGCTGGTCAAGGCCAGGGGCCTATGATTTTGACTTTATCAAATCATTAGAACTAATTCAAACGCAGTGAAAGTCACCACCGGGAACCCATTTTACCTTTCCGAGGTAGCAGTGAAGGTCATGACGCTATCTTCTGCACAATTTTGCCTATTGAGTCTACGCACAGGGACAACGCCAACATGATTGGCGGCTTGGGCGTTGCACTTACTTTAAATCACGAATACAGGTGCTTCACATAACAGTGATTGATCATGGATACTTTAGCAACTCAACACCTGTCCTAGTCTTTTGATTTGATGCGAAAGATTGCCGACTCAGTTGGGGTGCTGAGACGGTCGGTTCTGATGCGCTGATCAATTTCACATGCGCGTGGCAGTTTTGCATGTGCTTAATCCAACCACTGACTTAGACATAAGTCTTGTTACAGTCGGACAGAAAGCAGTCGAATTTGTCTTTCTTGGACCACCCCTGTCTGGGCTCAATTTCTTTATCAGTTTCATTTTCACTACTATCGGAGGTCTGGACCGAGGATTCTGAATGTTATCTCTGAGGTGTCTGTTCCTCTCTTTTTTTTTGCTATGAAAAATCTAACAAAATTTTGCTTAGCACATTGAACTATTGAACTGTTTGCGACTTTTTTTGATAGCATTTGCTTTAAAATTCTCACTATATGTAAAATTAAGTTTGGTTGTCGGATTTTGCAACCAGTTATGCTGGTCAAACTCAATCTTGAGCCCATCGTTGTCAAGATCAGCTCTACGCTGCCTTATCCAATCTTTAGCACCTTCAAGTAGATCAATCAAGCTATCGACTCCGAACTTTTTGTTAACGGAAGCATACAATTGAACCCTTTTCCTGCATAGATGATGTGCAACTGGCGTTGTTTTTACCTATTCGTTCAATTCCTTTAGTTTCGTTTCATTTCTACTTACTAGTTTTAGACACAATCTTTTAGCGCGTTATATAACTGCCTTAGTCTACCAAGAGCAGTTCATCTGATAACAAGGGTATCTAAGCCAGGTAGCAGGACTGGCTTTAGGAAAATCTCGATGAGCAGACCCTTGCTCCTTAGTGTCAACCTTCTAGACACCAGGGAGGGTCTAAGACATTGCTATCCCTGTCTTAGAAATGCGACTGCCGATAGCCGCCTTGTCAGCGCTGCCATCAGATGCTATGATGCAACAGAGTTACTCAAAGTGATTAACCTCTTCAACTTGCCCACTGAGTACATTGATAGGAACATAAGTATTGTCTTTGGTGTTAATTACAATATTTTTAGTTTTCTCGACAGAAATTTCTAGTTGAGCCAATCCTAAGGTTTTTGCCATCTCATTCTGCGACTTGGTAGCATTTGCTTGATTGTCAGAGATCAAAGCCAGATCATCAGCGTACGCATTCTTTCTTTTCTCTCACTGGTCTTATTTAGGAGGAAGTCAAAAAGGATGATAAACAACAGTGGGCCCAAAATGCACCCTTGCTGCACCCCCAGTTCACTACGAAGGTGTTATTCTTATTAGAATTGC